TCTCTCTCTCCCTCCCTCTCTCTCTCTCTCTCTCTCTCTCTCTCTCTCTCTCTTTCTCTTTCTCTCTCTCTCTAGTGAGTAAACACGCCCTATAGCAAGTTAACACATAATAATAAATAATTTGAAGTCATTTTTTAAAAGTCATTGGAGGACTCACAGGCTTAGAATCACATAGTAATTCTCTCTATCCAAGAGTTCAGAGAATTAAAATAAGAGACCTTGAGTTAAGGGTCATACAAAAGAGATTCCAAAGAAGAAAAGAAGTACTGTGTTCTGAATAAATCACCGAATGTCCAAGAGCTTATGCACTAAGACCATGAAAGATAGTGTTCTCTGGGAATTTGGGATGACACAGTTTATTGCTAGTGTTATGAGCATTGTTGCTCGAGCTATAACCACCAACCTGCATGTAGAAGAAATTTTAAGACATAGAAAGACTTTCAGATCTTCTGAAACAAGAGGTGATATATCTACAAGTCTAAATGTAGTCAGTCAGCTATGCCAAACTCAGTGATCTTGCCCCTCTGGAGAATGTAACAATGGAGAATTCTGTTTTGGGAACTTGGAAAGATTATGAAATTTGGTTGCCAAGTCAACAGAATTATTAACATTTGCTCATTTTTCTAAGTAGGTTCCCTTCTTATTACTTGTGGCTAAGGAGTTTGCAGATAGAGATCCCAGGATGTGACAATAATAGATTTTCAGAGCTTCTATTGATATATAATCCATCATCCACGTCCTAACATGAGTAATTCTGTCATATAAACTTACCTTTGTCACTTTTATTCTAATAACCATTCAATGGTTTCCCATTGCGATAAACAGCAAGTCCAAAAACCTTTAACAGGGTTTATGTAGCCCTAAGCAATTTCTCTTTCCAGCTTCTTTTCTCAAAATTGCCAATGATATAGCCATTCTGTGCATAAATGACACATTTTTTCCCTTGAATAAGGCAGACTTCCTAACTTCAGATTATTCCCTATGCCTGGTTTCCCCATCCCCTTAAAAAGCCAACTCTTCTTCATCCTTCAGCTTAGATTTTACTTTCTCCAAAAAGTTTTTCTTAACCCTTGATTGCACTATGAACCTCTCCTACATGCTTCCACAGAATCTCAGGCTTATATCACAATGATACTTATCACCCCCATTCTTACTGCTTATTCACTTACACACCTTCACAGTTGGTAAACATTTTGTGGGAAGATACTGTACCTCATTTATCTTTACATTTACAGACTTCCTTGAATAAATAAACAGATTAGTGAAAACATCATTGTTAGTGAGAGGCAGGGGCCGGCATTCAAGTCTACATCTCACTATTTACCCTGGCTCTTAAGCAAGCCATAACCTTTCCATTATCCATCAAGGACAATGTGTATGGTAATATCTTTGACTGGACTAACATAACTATCTATTCATGCTGGGAAAATTCATTTTCTATATTGTAAAGATATATAGTGATTGAATGTAATAAATAAGAAAAAAATTTTAATTTAAGAGAATCTATAAATTAAGATGTGTTCCTCTGTCTGCATAAAACCAGGTGGCTAGACAGGGCAATGCCCATATGGTCCTGTTGACACTATCATCAATAGTTCCATATGTAAAAGATTGCAAGAAATATTGAATTGTTCTAAAACACATGCAAGACAAGCACCCCTGGGCACTCAGAAAAAAAGAAAAGGTGAGCAGTCTCTCTAAATGCACAGATTTAAAAAAAAAAAATCTATTCTAATTGTTATGGGAAAGAGGGAATTAATTCAAAGGACCAGTATAGAAAAATGAATACTTGGCCAGAGTATGCCCCAGATCTGCTCTCTGAGATCCAAGTGTTATTAAAAACTAGCCTTAATTAGGCAGGACTACGCTCTTTGTTGATCAGAATTTATTTATTAATTTTTAGTATAGTTTCTAGTTTTCACTCCACTTGATAATTGGGCCCTATGTTTAAGTGAAAATGCTCACTTGTGCATAATTTGAGCATCTCCTAGTACTAACCTCTATTTTTGCCCCTGTCATATTTAGGCAAGGGCAGGATCCTCTCTGTTCTAGCAGAGCCTTGTCTCTGTTTGAGCTGGCATGCAAATGTAGACTGTGATCTATCATGTTTTATTTAATAGAGTTGCTGAGAAAAGGGGAAAAGGAAATTGTTGTGAATTAAATGTCCTTGTCTCTTCAGGCAAAAAGATAAAAGTTTTGACTGATTGCTGAGATGTCTGGAGATGGAAGAATTAATGCAAAACAATGATTTTGTTATGTTTCTATTCTCTGGAGTGTTGCAAATGGTGAAGAAAATTTTATTTCAGAAACAGATTAAGAGAGGCTTTCTCCCTTGCCAGAACAAGCAAATCTGGGGAAATCAGGAAGCAGAGGTGGTGGGACCAGCAGATGGCACAATGGTTGCATCACTGGACTCCCACGTAGTCGACTGTAGTTAGAGTCCCAGACCTGGCAACTCAAAACTCACGCCAGGTGTGTGTGCATACACGCTCAAAATCCCAAGAGGAGAATGGAGGAGAAGGGATTGTGGTGTGGCTATCCCCCGGAACGTGATTTCTCGCTTTCTCTGTCTCTCTCTGTTTCTCTGGCAAGCACATGAGTCCTGTAGCAAAAATCTCTCTTATTAAAATAACAGGAAGCAGAGGTGGCAAGCCAAAGAGTAGGGCCTGAGAATCTATATTCCAATCCTATTCCTGCCATGTTCCCTCAGTGACTTTGAACGGGCCATTTACTGTCCCAACCTCAGATTCTTTCAGATCTGAGAGTCTGGCTAGAGTTGAGATTGAAAGTCCCTTTCACTGTTTATAAATGTTGTAAGATTCTTTTCTCTTCTGAATTAACTCAAGCTATAAATAGGCTTTAAGTAGATGCCATTCTCTGGGGGACGTTACTGACCTGCTCTGTCCACTAGAATCTTTGATAACATTATAAGCAGGATTCCACCATGCTTGCTATTTCATTTCAACAATACTTGAAGCAATTATTCTACCAAGAATGTTATAGCAACAAAAGAAAGTATAAGATATCATATATATCTTATAGCAATGGATTGGTTACACCTGACAATTCGCCAGAGTTAACGTAAGGCACAATGTACACAATAAACTGCACATAACATACAGTATGTTTTTGTGCTAGCTTAGTTACTTTCTCCTTACTTTAAAAAATGGGGGAAATCCTGAATTGAATATAGAATATGGAAATAGCTATATTCTGGTCTGGTCCAAATCCTCCTTTTTCTCCTTCATTGTGTGTCTGCAACTTTTTCTATTTCAATGAATCCTTGGGTTTTAAAACAAAGATGTTGGCTCTTTGATGTGTCTAGGCTTCTAAATTACTCACAGAGACTTCTCAGGACTGTACTACAACTGCCCGAGTTTCAGAGTTGAGGTTGAGTGTCTTTATCTTCTACACTGATTTCTCTTTCTCAAAAACTGCTCATTAGACTAGAGCATTTTTCTCCTAAGTCTGGTGAGTAGTAAACTAAAACTAGAACTGAAGGAGGTTTGATATTTCTCTCATATGGGTTTCTTCTGTGGAGAACCAAAGACAATTACCTCAGAAATGGCTCCTGTCATCATACTCTGGCTCCTACTTGGGGGGTAGGAGGGGTTCCATGAAAGGGAGGGAGAAAGAGAGAGGAAAACACAAAAAAAGGGAAAAAAATGCTCTTTTGAAAACTAAGAGATGACTACCAGACTCTATAGCTCAAAACAGTTTGTATGATTTCAGGCAAAACCCAATATTACCTACTGGGTCAGAATTTGAATCAAATATAAGGCCAAATTTTAAAATGGGATTTAGGCATACATTTCAAAACAAAAATCACTCCAATTCCAACAAAGGCATGTTATTCCTTCTTATTTAAAAAAAAAAAAAAAGGCTTTTTCTTTATTCATGATAGAGCATGTGTGCATGAAAGAGAGAGAAGCCCCACAGGACCTGGTCATGCCACACGTAATTTCCTTCCTCTAATCTTCTGACCCATCAGATAGTGGGCACTCACATATGTGCCCAACATATTTCAGGCTGACCAAGTCAGGGATTCACACGGGGTCACCGTGTGGAATATGGTTTCTCCTGAGCAGAGGAATAACCCTCCACCACAGCGTCAGCCCAAAGGCATGCTTTTTAAAAGTGATCTTAAAATGTTCTTTCACTTTATGTATGGTTCTGCTTCCTTCCTGTTAAATATCCAACTCTTTAAACACTTGTATAGTTTGAAAGGTAATTCTGTTTGAATCACAAGAGATATTAACTTGATTATTACTTCCGTTTAAAACAGGTATTTCATAATTTATACACTGTAATATTCACCTGTTTACACCAGGTCCTCCAAGTGTATTTATTTTCTTAACTGCTTTGATAGTTCTTACTTTACACAGAAGATGTTTCTGGGTGCAGGAAGTCAAGTATAGAAAGCTGCTATCTGGCACTAGGGTAAAATGGATGAAGTGAAATTTTTCCCGTTGGTGAAATGACTGTCGGAGAATAAACAATGATCATTCTCTCAGGCCACTAAGGCACAGAGCCATAGACACAGTGTGAGTAATTCCCTTGCAGAGTAAATTAACAAATGTAACTCAAATGAACTTAACTTGTTAGAGTATAGAGTTAATGAGGCTGAAACATGTGAGATTAGTTTAGGAGAGTGAGCTTGGGCAAGCTCCAAAGCAGCACCCTGCATCCCAAACACAAGGAAATCTGGGCCATTTGTCACAAGGAAGAGTGGGAGCAAGAAAGTCAGCAGGTAGACAGTGTGCCTGTCACCGCTGGAGGAAAGAAAGGCAACTAATAATGGAATGATAGGATTTCAAGCGTTTTCATGGCTACATGATATGGGGAAAGCATGCCCTGAGTGAGTTTGGGAAACACATATAAAATTACATTTGTAAATTTATATTTGTGTTTATAATATAGTCTTTATATTAGACTTTCTATTTAGCCTTTAATACTCTTAATATTTCAGTCAGAAAATGCCTTAAGCTGAATTTTGTCCTTTTTTTAATGTTAAAAGGGAAAATAAAGATAAAAATAAAATGATAAGGAAAAGTTTATTCTACTTAAATCTCTGAAATTTTACTTTTAAATCTTTGTCCAATTGCTCAAGTCAAACTACCCACTGAAAGTTATTTGATTCCTCACGACCTGAAGCCAAGTATTGTTTCTTAAACTTGGGCAGGTTTTGTAACTTTCTGTGCATCAGTTTCTTCCCCTGAAAAACGGAAATAAAAACAGTTCCTACCTGATAGAGGAAATTCACTATGTGCCTGATATATAACACATTCATTTTTATGACTTCAAAGAATGAATTATTCTCAAAATGGAATAAAATTAGATTTCTGACTTACAACATACAAAAAAAAAAGTTTGATTAAAGACTTTAAACAATGAAGGAGGCCAGCAGGTGGCACGGTAGGTAACAGCACTGGACTCCCACGTGGCTGACCGTGGTTCGAGTCCTGG